GGGGGAACGGGGGGGGGGGGAGTGGGGGGGGGGGGAAGAGGAACAAATGTAATCTGAACAATAAAGATTTAATTTAAAAAAAAAGTGTAGAATTACAAATCCGTAATCCCTAATAAGCAATTGCAAAATCTGAAAAGCTAAGAAATCTGAAGGTCTTTGTGTAATTTTTCAGTGGACAGGAACTGACCTGCTCTGAACTCATGTGATGTCAATACCTGACTAACCTGAGGTTCTGTTGAATTAGCCCACTGATGACGAATACTCCCATGTTAGGCTACATAAGTAATAACTCTCTTGGTTACAGGGTGCTGCCCAGATCCCTAGGAGTGTTATCTACAGACATTAACACTGTGTGAATATTCACTGTACATCAATACACCATAGTGCCATTCTAAATCTGAAATACTAGAGGCCCGGTGCACGAAATTCATGCACGGCAGGGGGGGCCGGGGTCCCCTCAGCCCAGCCTACACCCTCTAGCAATCCAGGACCCCTTGGGGGATGTCCGACTGCCGGTTTAACCCAATCCCAGGGATCGGGCCTAAACCAGCAGTTGGACATCCCTCTCACAATCCTGGACTGCTGGCTCCTAATCGCTCCCCTGCCTGCCTGCCTGGTCACCCCTAACTGCCCCCTCCCCCGCTGCACTGGCTCCTAATCACTCACCTCCCTGCCTGCCTGGTTGCCCCTAACTGCCCCCCCCCGGCCTGATCGCCCCTCACTGACTCTGCATGCCAGCCTGATATGCCCCTAACTGCTCCCCCTGTCAGCTGGTCACCCCTAACTGCCCCCCCTGCTGACCTAGTCACCCCTCACTGGCCCCCCTGCCAGCCTAATCACCCCCAATTGCCCCCCCCTGCTGGCCTGGTCGCCCCCAACTGCCTCCTCCTGCTAGCCTGGTCGCCCCACACAGCCTGCTGTTCAGTCATTTGGTTGTCCCTCACTAAACCCCTGCCGGCCTGGTTGTAGGCAGCCATCTTTGTGAGGTTGTGAGGGTCAATTTCAAAGCACATCTAGCTTGAAGATCATCATAAAAGGGATGTGGACCTGTTTAACATCAATTCCTACCTAATTTGATAAATCATGGAAAAATATACTTATCTGAAAAGAGCCTGTTTGATTCAAGCACTAAGTATATAATCATCAATTATAAGAATTCTTTTACATGCAAATGGTTAAACTTCAGCCATGTTCTGAAACATGGCTCATTCTGAGTACAATACAGGGCCAGCTTATTCTACTACTACATATGCTAGATAAACAACACCTGCTCTTAAGATGGCTCAGGAGACCTAGTGCTTGGAAACCCAATCCAGGAGTCAGTGTTCCTGGTAAGATGCTATCAAAGCTACTTGTACCAGCAATTTTAACAGTAACCATGTGGTATTAGGCAGAAGTAAAGTACTACCACATACTGTCTAGTACAGGGGTGGGCAAACTTTTTGACTCGAGGGCCACAATGGGTTCTTAAACTGGACCGGAGGGCCGGAACAAAAGCATGGATGGAGTGTTTGTGTGAACTAATATAAATTCAAAGTAAACATCATTACATAAAAGGGTACGGTCTTTTTTTTTTTTAGTTTTATTCATTTCAAACGGGCCAGATCCGGCCCGTGGGCCGTAGTTTGCCCACGGCTGGGTAGATGCACCAAGTTTCACAACATATTTCGCAAATTAATTTCCACACATAGTTCTAATAAATTTATTCATGCTGAGAGGAGCCTACCAGTCTTCAGACATTTTAAAGTACTATCTGAAGAAAATGAGTATGGTTTTCATATAAATTACAAACAAAATTAAAAGATTATAGCTAACACAGACTAAAAAAAAATACTTCATTTAGTTATTTCTCATTGTCACCAATTCCTGCTATATCATGGAAAATAACAAATCCCCATGATGAATCTTTAGCTTATACTTAACATTTGATTTAATTTTACTTTAATTTAAATATGCAACGTCAAAGCATCAATTAGCAGAAATGCTATCAATAACTCTCTAAAATTTAAAGAAAAACCTTCTCTATGTGTTTGAAAGATTTAAAGACCAGGGCACTTATCTTTAATAATTTAGTCATTCAGTTCAATAGATGTATGTACCACATATACTTTACTTTCTTTACATTTATAACATACTAGAGGCCCGATGCACGAAATTTGTTCAAGGGGCTCAGCCCTCGCAGCTGCGGTGGCTTGCCTCGGCCCTTGCAGCTAGCTTCGTCCGGAAGGTAGTCTGGAAAGGTTCTTTGGCTATCTGGTTTAATCAGCATATTACACTTTTATTATTATAGATAACTTTAAATTGTTTATATACGAATCAGTCACATTTTTCACATAAATAATCCTAAATTAAAATTAACATTCTGAATTTTAGAATATCCACTAAATATGCCATGTTCTTTCAGGTTCCATGTCTTTATATATTAATTTTTCTACCTAAAAAGCCCTTTCCACACTCACCTTTCAAGGCTCAGATTAAAATTACCTCTCTTGTGTTACTTGATTCCTCTGAATAGAATTATTCAACTTTTCTTCTTTGCTGCCATTACACTTCTTTCAAAGTGACAGTTATACTGTAATTATTTTTTCTCATCTAACCCCCACTAGGCAATTGGCTTATACAAAGATGGTGAGATATTCTTTGTTTTTGCCCCAGAACTTTGCACACAAATATCTCTCCTTCAGTAAATATTTGACTGTATGAATGATCAAATAGTTAAGATTCCATAATGAGGCTATGCTCTCCTCAAATACAATCCTGTACAATCCTATATAATAAAGGCTAATATGCAAATCGACCAAATGGCAGAATGACCGGTCGCTATGACACGCACTGACCACCAGGGGACAGACGCTCAACGCAGGAGCTGCCTCCTGGTAATCAGTGCACTCCCACAGGGGGAGCGTTGCTTAGCCAGAAGCCAAGCTCACGGCTGGCGAGTGCAGCAGCGGTGGCGGGAGCCTCTCCCGCCTCCATAGCAGTCAGACATCCTCCAAGGGCTCCCAGACTGCAAGAGGGTGCAGGCCAGGCTGAGAAACCCCCCACCCACGAGTGCACAAATTTCATGCACCGGGCCTCTAGTCATCTAATAAAGGCAAGTTGTAGGAAATGCCAGTCTTCTAAGGCTAAAGGACTAAACCAACACTTTAAACGGAAGGTCAAGTTCACAATCAATACCACAAATTATTCCAGTTGTGCTGTGAATACTACATTGAGATGTAATGTCCGATGTCAAGAGTTGGACAGAAAGGGCAGTCATGGCAACTTGCTATATTTCAAGTTCCCTCTTGCTGCCACATTCTACAGCATTCAAACAGAAGGATTTTGAATCAATGATCAAAGCTTGAAGAACAAGATATTTTTGTAAGTAAAAATGTAAAATTACTTTAAAATTCTAGATCAATGTTTTCAAACTTTTTTGCACAGGAATCCCTGGGGCTCTGGTTTAAAAACGCAGAGTACAATTCAGCAGGTCTGGCTGGGCCTGAAATTCTGAGTTTTTTAACAAGCTCTCTGTTGAGTATGCTGCTGCTATTCTACCAACCACACTTCAGTGTAGAAAAATATTATATTTTCCTTCAAAGTCCAGGTTGGTCTTGTCTTGGTTTTAACTAGCATACCCTTGCTGATTTTCCTTGCTATGACCTATCTTGATGGTGTTAATTATTTAAAAAAAATACTGAAAATTCAATGAGAAGAAATCTATATTACTTTAAAAAATATTTAATTGTTCTTACCTATACTCTGGTAATGCCATCGAAAGAAAATGCGTTCAGGTAGAAACTGTAGTATTTTCTATAAAAAAAAACACACAATAACAACAAAATCATAAGACATAAAAAGAAAATAAACTACAAATGAAATGAAATTTTTTCATGACAGGCCCATAGTGATTACTATATATGTTTCAGAAAATAAAATAAAAAAATTATTTGTAATAACATATATACTGTACTTTATCCTATACCCCTATGGGAACAGTTTCTTTTACTTGCCCCATGCAAGCTTCCTGAATGTTTTAAAGAGATTACTGTCCAGGTTTAATTCCCCCAATAGGTGACCATGATAAGAGGGTGACTGACCATGGCTAGAAAGATAAAGGCATAAACAGGCAGAGGCTGCCACTAATCCACTCCTTACAGCTGGACAGCAAATTCTTTCTTTAAAAGGGGATGTGAGCAGCACATCCCTATGTCTGCCACAATAATATGTGAATGATTAATTAGAATATTCTCATCATATGAAGAGATCGTGGAACTAAGAGAAAGGTACCCTACTTCAGGGACACAATCTATACTGACAATGCTTCTCATCGGTTGACTGTTGCCTCATACTGATGGAAGCCTGGGTGCCCTGAGTCCTTCCTGTACTTTTTCTGCCTCCTTCTTGAGCAAACGATACAGCAGAGACCCAGTGTCTTATTTTCTCATGCATTTTCCTCCAAGGGGCCTTGGCACATCAGCTACATTCCAGGATCATCTTCTGATCCCATCTTGCCAGTTAATTTTAAAATGTCTTATAGAAGATACTAAGAAAATTACTGTAGAGGTCCGGATAGATCTTATCTTGGACTAGACGAATGTCTGGCATGTGCACTGTTCTTTACTTTAGTCAGGAAACCAATTTGGCACTGAGTCATGCTTTTCAGATTTTCAAAATACTTATTTGTTTTCATGATTTAGGTTTCTTTTCTTAGTATGCAATAAAGAAAAATGTGGTGTGTTTTTTTAATATACAGAAAAATAAAGAATACAGCAAGTTGATGTATCTAGATGCTTGGGTACTTTCAGTTAGACACAAGTAATCTCTAACTTGTTCTGCTGGGCCTATCACCATCATCACTTCTGAATAAAAGTTTTCAGACTTACAAAGTGGATGAATTTTAAAGACACTTAAAAATAAACTCAATAATGTTCAGGTATGTAACACAATGCCCAATGCCAGAGCTACTAAAAATATTTCTAAAGGGACAGAATATTATAGAACTGAAAGCCAAAACACCATCCACACTGAAATTTCTTTTTGCACCCAAATATTGCATTGGCCATTTTTATATACTAAGTCTGTGAGGTCAAAAATAAAGACCCATACAACCGTCTGTGTCTAAATGCTAAGCCTGTCCCCCAGAAAGTCCCAGATGAACCTACTTCACTGAGGCATATACAATATGGCATTTCTACTGCAGCCAATATTCTAAGCTACACTACTGTGAATGCCATATAAACTATTGACACCTTATAGTTTCACTGGAGAGTAAAAATAAAAATTTTCAGGAAAGCCACACAGTGAATAAATATTACTTTTCAGAAAAACACATGGCTCTGTTTAATGCTCAGTGCTCAGCTACATCTATATGGTAATCCATTATAGCACACTCGAAATCAAAATTAGGTATTACTAACTGATCAGCACAACAGGGAATCTGTCATTCTTTTAACTGATTATCCATAGTTCTTTCTTCTTCAGAACCTACTGCATGACCAGGAATAATGTGAAATTTAAGCTGGAGTTTGTACAAGATGCTATCTATGGTGTACTTTAAAATTGCTATCGTTGTCCCATACACTGAAGGGGTCGTGAGTTCAATTCCTGGTAAGAGCACATTCCAGGGTTGTGGGTTTGATCCCTGGTCAGGCATGTGTGTCAGGAAACTAATGGATGTTTCTCTCTCACATCAATTTTTTCACTCTCTCCATCCCCTCCTTGCCTATCCTCAGGTAAGGATTTAAAAGAAATAAAATAAAATTGCTGACTGTAATTAAATTTTTGTGGGAAACATTTTTTTCAAATAATTACCAAATGACCAGTAGATTCACACTTGATTTCAATTCCACTTAGAAAGGGAAGACAATGAAAAATGAGAAAAATATTACATATTAGCTCATATAAGGTATACTAAAGCAATGACCAACAAAACATATCCCAAAGTAGAGGGAAAGGGGAGAAACTTTCCCTGAAACTAGCTGCATGATACAAGGATGCTAGGTCAAGAAAATGTTGACCAGGAAGAGAACAGAAGTCCAGTAACCTTTTGAGTTATAAATGCTCAGAAAACTATGATAAGAACTGAGTAGTTGTGTTTAAAAGAAACATCCTGTGAATGCCTGTGCTAAAAGGATAGTCTGGCTTTAGAAGGACCCAAGAGAGTAGGAGCCCAGCGGCATGGACACTTCCAGGTAGACCTGTGAAAAGGGCAACTTATTCTTCAATTGTCTTGGGCCTGGCCACTCATCTCTTACTAAAAATGACTTGACTTCCTGATATGGACAAGATATTTTTATTGAGCTCTGAATGTCAACACTTGTTTGGAACCTTAAATTTTAAGATAAATAGAACTAAAATAAGGACCTACTAAATAAATAAATAAACAAACAAACAAGGAGACCAGAAACAGACTCATAGATACAGAGAATATTTTGATGTTTGCCACATAGGAGGGGGGTTGGAATGGATAAAAAAGGTGAAAGGATGAAGAAGTATAAATTGGTAGCTACAAAATAGTCATGGGGATGTAAAGTGCAGTATAGGGAATACAGTCAATAATAATTATAAGTATGTATGGTGTCAAATGAGTATTAGATTTATTAGAGTGATCACTTTGTAAGTAATATAAATGTCTAATCACGGGGTTGTTCATATGAAACTAATATAATATTGTACATCAACTGTAACTGAAAAATAAAAAATATTCTAAATAAACCATAATGAGATAATACCTCATATCTGTCAAAATGGCTATCATCAACAAGTGTTGGTAAGGATGTGGAGAAAATAGAACCCTATTACACTGTTGGTGAAGATTGCAAATTGGTGCAGCCACTATGGAAAACCGTATGGAGGTTCCTCAACAAATTAAAAATGAAATTGCCTCATGACCCAGCAATTCCACTTCTAGGTATATATCCAAAGAAAACCAAAACACTAATTCAAAAAAATATATGTACCCCTATGTTCACTACAGCATTATTTACAATAGCCAAGATATGCAACCTAAGTGCCCATCAATAGACGAGTGGATAAGAAAGCTCTGGTACATATGTACAATAAAATATTATTTGGCCATAAAAAAGAATGAAATTTTACCATTTGCAATGAACCTATAGAGTTTTATGGTAAGTGAAAGAAGTCAGACAGAGAAAGACAAATATCACATGATTTAACTTATGTGTGGAATCTAAAGAACAAAATAAACAAAACAAAAACAGAGAAAAAACTAAGGATCGCCTGAGGGGAATAGGAGGCTGGGTGAAAAAAGTGAAGGAAATAAGAAGCACAAATTGGTAGTTACAAAACAGTCACAGGATGTAAAGTACAGCATAGGAAACATAGTCAATAATACTGTAATTACATATGGTGCCAATGAAGTATGGTACCTATTTGCTTTGTTTAACAATGGATAGGTTATTTTGATTTTCTGAATTATATGGATCATCCCATTCGATTAAATGCCTTATTGATTGGGTTGTGGTTATACTAGTCTTAGAAAGCACATTTTTCCTTCACCTGGGAAGGACAGCACAGTTATCCCAAGGTAAGAGGGCTCTAGACCCAAAACTGTAATTTACATAAACCCAGGTTACCCAAGGGCTCTAGACCTAAAACTGTAATTGAGATAACATGCCTAAGTTTAACTCAGGTTACCCAAGGGCTCTAGATAATGTGTTTATAACATGCTGTTTAAACTGCTTTTTGCAAACTAGGTTCCTCATTCCAGACCCGAGGGCTCTAGATAATGTATTTCAATGTATTTCTGTCAATTCAGTGACCCCGAGACCCAAAACTATAATTAACATGCTTAATTCTGCTTCTGTAAACTGCTTTTTTGCAAACCAAGTTCCTCATTCCAAACCTTGAGATGTAATCAATACCTTTGTGATCTTTGCCTATATAAGTCTGATTTTGCCACCATCTTATCACTATGAGATTTGGGGAATGGCCCCTCATAGTCCCGGATTGCAATAAATGTGACTCTTTAATTCGACTTTTTGAGGCGTCCTTCTGTGATTTGCGGGGTACATTACAACACCAAGTGGGTACTAGAATTATCGGGGGGATCACTTTGTAAATTATATAATTATCTAATCACTGTGCTGTACTAATATAAAATATTAAAACTAATATAAAATAATACAGAATGTCAAAAAAATGTTTACAAAAAAGCCAATAAAATCTGTTTAATTTACTCAGTTAAATTTTGTTCTTTAACAGTTTAATATTGTTCAAATTAAAAATTTTTTTAAAATAAAAACACCCTGCCTGGCCAGCATGGCTCAGTGGTTGAGCATGAACCTATGAACCAGTTTGATTCCTGTCGCACATGCCCCCCGGGTTGCAGGCTCGATCCCCAGTGTGAGGGATGCAGGAGGAAGCCGATCAATTATTCTCTCTGATCATTGATGTTTCTACTTTTCTCTCCCTTGTCCTTCCTCTCTAAAATAAAAAAAAAAATATTTTTAAAGAAATAAAAAATAAAAACACCTGAAGCTAATACAAATTAATATTGAATGAAAAATGTAATTTAAATTTTTTTAATTTTTAAAATTAAAAAAGTTAAAAAAAAACACTTGAAACTAATACGAAATGATTGTAAACTGCAACTGAAAAAATTGTAAGAATTAAAAAAATAAATCTTTAAAATTATACAAAAATGAAATTTCATTAACTTTTTTATATCATACTATTTTAATTCTGAATGATTTAAATTTGTATTAAAAGAAAAAAGGGAAACCAGCCTTGAATTGGATCCTAAGGAATATATAAGAAGGGCATTTTAGGCAGACTAAGGGGGATGGGGG